GACCACTGTAGCTGTGTAATAGGCATTAAAATCGGGTAAGGTGAGTCCTCCAACTTTGTCCTTCTTCTTGAGGAGTTCTCTGCTAATTCTAGGTTTCTGAAAGTGTCTTGTATTTTTATAATCAGGGGAATACTTTAGGAAACTCAGTCTTACTATTGGCAAAAGGACACAGCTCTGGAAAGACATAGAAATTGTTGCTGTAAATCTTCATTATTTTTAATGTACTTCTCTTCCAGTTTTGTATTTTTCTTTTAAACAGGTCAGCTTTTCTAAACAGTTCGAAAAATGCAGACTTAATTCAGTATTTTACCTTCTGCGCATAACTAGTGATTTGTGCTTTTTGTGTGTGCTTTGTGTTCCTATTAGTCTTGAAAAGCTCTTTCAGATAATAATTATTTTTAAGTGGACATTGGATAAACTGGTGAATCACCAGGGTAACTCCCTGAGCACTAAAATACTTGTGAGAAATATGTTCTAGGACTGAATTTACCTAACTTTATATTAATTATATTTACAAAGAAATGTCTTAAGTCTTCACAGTGACTTAAATATGTGCATTTAGTGAAATTTTATGTTATCACCTGCATAACAGCTTTATATTTTCTCAAATATTAATAAAGATACTCTGAAGAAGAAAAGAAAGTTGCTTTCATAGGTAGTTTATTGAGAAACTAAATTGTATATATTGTAACCTCACTTTAATGAAATTGCTAGGTCTTTGTGGTTATAGGTGAGACTCTATAAAAGCAGTAATGCTAAATAAGCTGTTCTGGGTGGAACCTGTAACAGGCCTATAATTCTAATGGATCATATCTTTTGGCTGCCTTCAGTAACCTGTTTCTGTTGGTTTGCAGGTGGAGTGACTCGGATGACCGTTTCTCTTGTTGTCATAATGTTTGAATTAACTGGTGGCTTGGAATACATTGTGCCTCTAATGGCTGCAGCCATGACAAGCAAGTGGGTGGCAGATGCTCTTGGACGGGAGGGCATCTATGATGCCCACATCCGCCTCAATGGATACCCCTTTCTTGAAGCCAAAGAAGAGTTTGCTCATAAGACACTGGCAATGGATGTGATGAAACCCCGGAGAAATGATCCCTTGTTGACTGTCCTTACTCAGGACAGTATGACTGTAGAGGATGTAGAGACCATAATCAGTGAAACCACTTACAGTGGCTTTCCAGTGGTAGTGTCTCGAGAGTCCCAAAGACTTGTGGGTTTTGTCCTCCGAAGAGATCTCATTATTTCAATTGGTAAGAATTTCATAACGGGGATAATAGGATCCACTCTGAATAGAAATAAATATACCTGACAGAGGGAAGGGGGCCAGAAGGCTAGAACTACTAGCACTTCAATTTTCAACTTTATTTCCTCTCACTTTTTAAATAGAAAATGCTCGAAAAAGACAGGACGGGATTGTGAGCACTTCCATCATTTATTTCACTGAGCATTCTCCTCCAATGCCACCATACACTCCACCTACCCTGAAGCTTCGGAACATCCTGGATCTCAGCCCCTTCACTGTGACAGATCTTACACCCATGGAGATTGTAGTAGACATCTTCCGCAAACTTGGACTGCGTCAGTGCCTGGTTACACACAATGGGTGAGAACTCTCGTAGAGACATCATGAATTGTGAGAGAGAAAGGATCTAGAGAAATTAAGAAGGAGAACTCAATTTAAATGAGCATTAATAGCACTTTTGAGGAGCCCAGTGATTACTCACTTAGATGCAAACTGAAAGGTTTGTAGTTCAAACCCACCAGGTATTCTTGCATGAGAAGGATGTGGTGACATTCTTCTGTAAAGATTACAGCTTTTGAAGCCCTATGGGACAGTTCTACTCTGTCTTCGAGAGTTACTATGAGTCAAAATTGATGGCAATGGACTGAGTTGGATTCATAGGCTTTTGAGGCTTTCAAGTGAAGATGAACGTATTTCTTTTATCATTGTGATTAATAGAAAAGGAGTTCGGGAAAGAAAATTTGTTTGAGAGATGTCCACTGCTAGTTGCTCACATTACAAATAACTCAGCTCTTCATTCACAAAGGAAACAATTATGCTCTTTTGAACAGACATCACTAATATTATCATGGAGGTCCTCAGATTACAAATGACTTCCATTCTTGTGTGTCTTTAAGTAGAATTTGTAGGTAAAGTGGAGCAGGTGCATACATTTCTTTAGTGCAAGAAAAGGCTTAAAACATTTTCTGTAAACTTGGAATGCAAGTGAAGGTGATTGTGGTATAGAATTTGTTGTGAGTAGGGTTTCAGTCATTTCAAAGTGAGGGAGAATAAAGATAACATTAAAGGGCCTCTGCGAGTTGTCTGTAAGTCTGATGTTCATTTGTGTACGACTTGGTCTCTGCAATAACGTTACTATTATTTGAAGATGAGAAAACCAAGTTTCAGTGAGGGTTTAATGGTTTGCAAAAAGGTCTCCAGTTAATTCAAAATCAAAACAAAACACTGTTGAGTTGATTCTGACTCACAGCAACTCTAACTGCCCCTGTGGGTTTCCAAGACTAACTTTTTAAAACATTACTTACTTTTTTAAATTAGAAAAAATATTCAAAGATCATTTTATTAAGAGGCTCTTACAGCTCTTATAACAATCCATTCAACAATTATATCGAGTATATTTGTACATATGTTGACATCATTATTTTCTAAACATTACTTTCTATTTGAGCCCTTGTTATCAGTTCCTCTTTTCTTCACCCCCACCTCATGACCCCTTGATAAATTAATTATTATTATTTTCATCTCTTACACCAACCGCTGTCTCCCTTCCCTCATGGTTTCTGTTGTTCATCCCCCTGGGGGTGGTGGGGGTGGTTATGTGTCAATCTTTGTGATTGGTTCCCCCTTTCTCCCCTCCCATCTCCACCTTCCCCCTACCCTCCTGGGATCGCTACGCCCATTCCCATTCCTGGATTCCATCAAGACTAACTCTTTACTGGAGTAGAAAGGTTCATCTTTCTCCCTTGAAGCTGCTGGTGGCTTTAAACTACTGACCTTGTGAATTCCATCCAAATGTATAACCACTATACCACTAGGGGTCCTGCAGTTAATAAATAGAGTAGGCATTTTTTTCACATTAGTCATATGAGATGCTTTCCAAAATTCCTCAACGCCAAGCCACACTCCAAACCAATTTTATAAGGATCATGGTGGGATTTACTTATATAATTCTTTAATTTATTTTATATTCGTGGGTATAACATGGTACATACAAAAAGTTGTACCTTTAAACACAGTGCTTTAGGACTACCAGAACCTAGGCTCTTTTCTTTTTGAGATATTAAACAAAACTTTATTGTAGCTTGGGTGTAAGTATACAGATCAAATTAGTTTTATGCACATTTTGGTTTGTGGCCTTGGTTGTAATCCCTTGTCGCAACACTCTTCCAACTTCCTCCTCGGAATCCACGTTCCCATTCATCCTGCTTTCCTGCCCCTTCTGGGCTTTTGAACTTTGTTTTGAGGCAAATGCTGCTCTTTTCATTTGATATGGTTGATTTACTGAGTAAATCCCTGGTGTGATTGCACTTGATAGGCTTGACTGTTGTTTAGCTGAAGTTCATCCCTGGTAATGGACCCCGTTCCAGATTTGAGAAGTACCCAAGAGCTACAGTCTCAGAGGGTCCACCAGTCTCTAGTAGACTAGTAAATCTGGTTTTATTTCTTTGCCAGTGATTATATAAAAATTTTACCTTCCTTTAAACCATCTAAATGGAATAGTAGGTTCTACACAGGATTTAATTCAGTTAGAGAACTTTCCCTAGCTGGTTTCTTCAATATTTACTGGTTTCATCTTTACTTCAACTGATATTATTTTATGTAACAAGGCATTCCACTAGATTCTGAGGAAAGATAAAATGTAGTAAGACCTTTCTCTGCCTTTAAGGATGTAGATTGTGACAAGGAGACTAAGCCCACTGCCATCAAATTGATCTCAACTCATAGTGACTCTATATATAAGATTGTAAATTTCTCCAGGAACGGACAGGCTCTTTCTCCTGAGGAATGACTGATGGTTTTCACCTGCTCACCATGTGGTTAGCAGCACAGTGCTTTCCAGGTAACACCAGAGCACACAAATATTATAGTCCAATAGGAAACAGGTCAAGTGCTACAGAAGAGACACATATAGAAAGTGCTGTTGCTGGGGTGAAGATAAAGTTACTTCTGGCTTAAAGGATAAGAGAAGGTGTTCTAGAAGAGGGGCTGGACTTCAAAGGGTAAGTAAGATTCAGATATGTAGAGAATAATATTTAAACAGAGATGGACCTGAGACAATTGTTTGACCTGAGACTTCGAAGTAGAAATGCTTGGTGCATGATTTAGTCCATTTGCATGGTGCAGTGTTGTCTCATCATTCTGTAAGTGCAGCTAGTGTTAAAAAATATTGAAAATGATCAGGACAAAAAGTGTCTTCTCTGGAAACATTTTAATTTCAGATTTTCTTTCCTTTTACCTTTTAGGAGATTGCTTGGAATCATTACCAAAAAGGATGTGTTGAAGCATATAGCACAGATGGCAAACCAAGATCCTGATTCCATTCTCTTCAATTAGAATTTGCAGTGCGGTCCTGGGTATAAAATAAGAAGAATCTTGCAGACCATGGATATATTTTAGTACTCAGATACCCAAAACACATTTCCCATATTTGGATGGTGAAGTAATACTAGTGTGTTGTCTCTTACAAGTTAACTAGTTGCACTTCATTATCTCTGCAAATTAATCTCCTCTTTTAGAGAAAATGCAGTTAAGCTTCTGTGAGATTGCATTTGGGAGATTTCATGAAAGAGTAAAAGAAAATTGCCATGGTTTCAATGTCTTTCATATTTTGAGGGTTTTTTTCCATTTAAAAATATTGTTAACTATTACCAGTCACTGAAAACTATGCAAGAAAAATTACAACCATCTTGACCTATAGCCTTCATGAAACTCATGAAAGAGTCGATTTGTTTTTCAGCTCTGTCATTGGGGGAAAATGAAGTGAAAACCAAGAGGCTTTGCTTTTCAAACCACAGAAAGAAAAGCCAGAAGGAAAATAGTAATGGTATTTTCTAGACTGTGAAGAATCAGTTCAAATGTTACCTTTTTTCTGTTACATTATTTAGCATTATTAGTTTTTTGTTTATATATGTTAATTTTCATTTCTGATTATAAGACAGTGCTGTTGAGGTTGATTTTTATAGCTTGCTTGCTCCTGGTACTCTTGAAGTACAAAAAGTTAAGCTATAGAGCTTTCTGCTTGTCTGCAAAAATGAAAATTTGCAGATGATATTTGTTAACTAGAAAACAAAGACTTTGCCAAAAATTTGTTAGTTGCAAGGACTTTGGTAATTTCTCTCCAGTTTCCTTGAAATGAAAAATTAGTCAAGTTCTAGGCAAAGTCACTGACTAGGAATTTCACATTTTTCTGAGATTCCAACTAGTCCTCTTACCCAGGTGCCACCTCCATGAATGATGGTGCTTCAGGCTTTGGGAATATGTAAGAACAGTAGAGAGAAGCATACGGACAAACCAGGGAAGATCCAGAGCTGTATCTGCATTCCCTCATAAATAACTGGACATTTATTCCTTCTCCTAGCATAAAGTGTGTATAACAGGCCAGTGTTGTTCTCAGGAACAAGATGTAGGCTTGGGGTACTTTCGCACATCTGAAGGCATTAGAACAGTAAAGGCAGCTGTGACTCCACGAGGCTCCCTATAATTCTTAATGAAATGCAGAGCCGTTATAAGATACAGGGGTATGACCAAGGCCTGTTGACACCAAAGGTCCTTACATCCACTAGAAAAGGTGCCTGTGTCAATTCCCTACCACCTTTACTGCATGATAGGGATATCAGGTGGGATTACAGAGCCGCCACTATCATTCCTACCACTATTTTTATTTTCTATAGTTTGACTGACATAATTTCCACCTCCATTCTTTTCACCTTCCTAATCCTCAGTACTGGATCCTTTCTTTGGGATTGATCATTATGCCTGGCTAATAATCATTTATATTACCAAAAAAAGACAACTCCTAGAGTTTAATTTGAAACCAAGGCTCAGCAACCTTATGACACATGGACCAGAGGTGACACACAGCCAGTTTCTTTGCCTTGTGGCCCATTTGCTGCTATCATCCCTCCTTTTCCACATGCATACCTCTGGCAGTGAGGCTTCACGGCCAGTGCCGCGAGTTCAGCCTTTCCCATTTGTCAAGTTTGTTCTTGCCACTTTCAGCCATCCTTCTAGCCCCAAATTCCATTTCGCGTGAACCACTTCGGTGTTACCTCATTTCAAAAGTTGCTGAACTATACTAGGGATTTGTCCCTAGTCCTTAACTTTCCAATCAGGAACTTTTTTATTACACAGAACTGGACAACCAAGGCTTATTTTCATCTTATAGCAAGACCTTTAAAAAGTTTATCTTATGTAAGTAAAGTATGACTTGTGTGGGCCTGAATTCAAGGGAACTGCTTGGTTTTCTGGGTCTCACAAGTTTGGCACTTTTGGCAGGATGCACTTAACCATACTTCTATTGCCCTCTACTAGTAGAAAATATTTGAGTTTTCCTTCAATGACAGGTTTCCACTTTGTACATTTTCCAGTTTTTGCAGGTTTTACTGTATATCACGCCACAGTCTAATGAAAAAGAGGGTAGGGGGACATTCTGGTTAATTTTATCATAGTCATCGCTCAACAATTTTGCATCCTTTGTCCCTATCACTCCACTAATCTCCCCACGAGATGAAAATATTTGCCTGACAAGCTCTGTGTATTGTGTAGAAATCAAAGTTCTTATCTGTATATTTCTACTTCACTATCGATCTTACTAGTGTTCCTTCCCTACTCACGTTTGAAAAGGCGAAACTGTTAGTACTTGTGGTGTTCATGGCAGTTTGGTGATAGTTAGTGAAGCGGGGACACAGAGTGCATCTGTTCTCCTTGTGTTTCTTCTGGGTCCTGTTCATGGTTTTAGATAGATGAGCCAGTGTTAAGGTGCTACTTCAGAGAATAAATTCAAGAAATCAGATAACACTGTGCCAAGGTACACTTTCTAGATGCTAAGCACCAGTTGACCCTCCAGAGTATGACAGTATCCCTCTGATACCTCACGCCTGATAAATTTCATTCATTAAAACCTCAGCCTCTCAGGAATCCTCGTAGCTCATATTCTAGAAGTAGTGATAGTATATAATATCCATTATACATCCAGACTTACAGTTTGTCTCAAAGGTTGGCTAATTTTGCCTAAAACTCTGCTAGACTGCTAACTCAGAAGTTTCTGGTCTTGAGGTAAAGGAAAGTGTTTTCTTTGTCATTGCCAATTGAGCAGCTGGACATAGGGGTTTCGAAAAGTCCGTGGCAATATTCCATTATCTTTTCATCCCATTTTTCCATGAACTTTTTGAAGCCCCTTGGTACTTAATCAACAAACAAAATCAGTAGAGGGAGGTCTATCAGAAGCATCAGATGGTCACAAACATCAATGGTAAAAGGCTAGATAATTTGATTGACAAATGAATATGAGTTGAGACTCGTCTGTTTTGTTCTTCAAAAAGAAAAGTGCCTGGCAAGAAGGAAAAAAAAATTTGCCTTTGAAACCTTAAGTGGGATAGAAGTTTCCAAGGAAAACTACCTGGTAGACATTCCGCAGGGAAAGGAATGCAAGTCTACCGATTTGTCAAATTCTAACTGCTATATTTTATGTCGTCTGGTCTTCAATGTAAATAATTAAAGAAGCCACCATAGTAGTTATAACATTGGAAGAAAGCAGGGTGCTGATAATGCAAAGTCATGGCTTTATTTTGAAGGTTATTTCTGTTTGGTCAGAGATGTATGTTCAGACACTGTCCTCTTTCTCTGACCCAATTTCCTTCCAGCTCAGGCCAGCTTGGGAGGAGGAGTGGTCTAATCCACAAAACAGATATCCTCTGGTGAATAATCTGACATCGACAATGATTTGAATTTGCCAGCTTGCAAAGCAGACAGTTTTCTGATTGAACTGCAAACCATTTCATTTGTTTTGGCACCAAAGGCTGAATCTGAACCCTTTTCAAGAAGAGCAGAGAAAAATACAAATCTATCTATTCGGTCTTGAATCTGCTAGAAAGTGAGAATGTTAAAATAATGGAGAGTCAGTGTGATCTGTGTTTGCTGAATAATCTAGAACTAAAATCTTATGAGATTGTTTGGGTATGTTGGAAGCATGAATGTAATAGTACAAGAGAGTCCATTATGAGAAGTTATCATTGTATATTTCCAAGTGTTTAATTCACCTGGTGTGGCTAGGTCTTTTTATTTTTTAGTTTATCTTTTTGTGATTTGGGTGGAAGTTTACAGAGCACATTTCGTTTTTTACTCAGCAATTTGTCCATATTTTATTCGTGACCTTGACTATAATTTCTCTTCCTCCATGTATTAGTTGTCCCTGGTTCATATTCCTCCTTCTTTCCTATCCTCCTATCCTGTCTTCTGAGCTATATCCCTGGGCATATGCTGCCTTTTTGGACTTTTTTGGTAAGTTGTTTTAAGGAATAATGGTGATCGTGTCTAGCATTTGGTTGAAAAATTGAACTGCAGAGGTAAGTTCAGTTACAGGCCTGCAAGTATCTATACACTATTGTCTTAAGGTTTCCTCCAGTCTCCTATAAGACCAGTAAGCCTAAGGGTTTTTTTTATGATTTTGAGTTAGGGTCCAGATTTTTCTCCTACTCTATCCAGGATCCTTTCAGAGTAGTCAGCAGTGGTAGTAGGGCACCATCTAGTTCTTCTAGTCTTGGAGTCATGAGTGCTGGGGTTCACATGGTCCATGAGTTCTTGGGGTGAATTGTTTCCTTGTGGCTTTCATATTCTTTCCTCTTTGCTCTGGATGGAGAGAGATCAATAGTTACAGTCTTAGGTGTCCATTCACAAACTTTTTTAAAATTCACAATCTTTTAAGACCCCAATTGCTACTCACCAAAGTAAGATGTATAACATTGTTCATGTGCTTGGGTCTTGCTGTTGGGTTTTTTCTGTTAGATGATGAGTCTTGTTTTGCTTCTGTTTTTAATAAGACAAAAAATTTATCTTCCAAAGCACAAATTTAAAAGTTTGTATGTCATGAAGACAAATGTTGAACATATTCAATAGTCAGTATGTATCATATTGCCAAAGTACTTATTGACCTACTCTGTATGAGGAGGCATCCAAAAGTTCATGAAATAAATTGCCTTTTTAATTTTTTCACAAATTATTTGAAACTGCTTCATATATGAGTTTATATCAGATGGTGGGAGCAAGGCCATCTATGTCCCAAGCCATATATCCTGGTATTTATAAACTGATTAATTATATGCCTGAAGGGATGAAAATAAAGTTAACCCCACTATCACCAAAGACCAAGCAAAGGAGAGGTTCAAAGTTTGAGGGAAGTCTACTTTTATCAAGAGAACTGACCCAAGACAGCTTTTCAGGAAGGAGTGTAGTCTGTACTGCCATTAACTACATGATTAACTTTAGATACTCTATTTTTTTATATTCTATTTTTTATAGCAAAATGTTTTATAAAAGAATCTGTTAAATCCCTTATTAGTTACAAGTTGCCCTCAAGTCGATTCCAATGTATAAAGGCCTCGTGTGTCCAAGTAGAAATGTGCTGCACATAGTTTTTAATGGGAGATTTTCATTTGGGGAAAGTAGATTACTAGCCCTTTCTTTCAAAGTACCTCTGGGTGAACTTGAACTTCTAACCATTCAGTTAACGACCAAGGACTTTAACTGTTTTCATTACCCTGCCTTATAGGGTTGCTATTAGTTGAAATCAACTCTATTGCAGTGAGTTTGAGTTTAGTATCT